ACTTGTCAAGAGAACGAAATCACCCACCCCCCACCAGCCCCCCCCCATCCCCCCCCCCCCAACCCCCCTAACACTGAAGCAACTTGTACCGCTTTCTTTTCAGAGCACGAAATTTGCGGCAAACGAAGGTGATGGAACCAAGGAATAGAATCTTACTAGGTTCAACCACCAAAAAAACGCTACTCATATGAGCTATAGTCTAAACCCCTTGTATCCCGCTTAATAACCCCTGTAATACTCCACTCCCCTATATAACCTTGCTTTAAGGAGTTTAGAGTATGGCTCATATTGAGGTTGCTATTCCAAGGTTGGCGTCTTTACAGATTTCTAAGCTGTCTTTAGTCATTTTTTAAAAAAATGTGGAACATTTATTGAAACAAACTCCCACATTCACAAAACTTTGGTCCTTAAAGGAGGTCCCAAAAAGGTTGGTTTAAGTTGCGTTGCACGAACTTCTGTAATAACACAGCAGCTTCCATGTTTTTCTGATTCTAAGCAGCCGTATCATAGGTAATTATTGCCTAAGCAATAAACCCACCGGAATGAGGTGAGGGTTGATGACCTATAGTCCCCCTTAAGTAGATAGAATCTGGGGTATATGGGGATTCTAATATAATATACCCAAAGCCATATTCTATCTGCTCAAGGGGGACTATAGGCGGGGAAATACAAGTTATGACTGGGTACCCTCAACAAGTCTCTTCCTTACATACTATGAACAGATGACACTAGAGTCTGTCCTAGTACTCAATACGTGTACCTACCTCGCTCGCAGCCGTCTTCTGAGTGATTTTCGGAGGCGTGGTGATTGATGATGGATGTGGCCTCTCGGACGCAAGGTTCAGGATTTGAGTGTATTCCTGCACCCTAAACCTTACAGCAAGGACTGCCTAAAGCATAAACCCCTCAACGCTGCTCTGGGTCCTTGGCTTGGGTCCAGGGAATAGGCTACAGAGTTTAGGGTTTCGGTCCACGGCTATGTTACGTTCAACTTTTCACAGGAACAAGGATGACCAATAAGCATCATCATAGAACGACAGCCACAGCACCTGTCAAGAATTATGTATGGCTTGCTTTTGGATTCTTGGCAACCTGCTGGGATTTCAGTGTACATCCTTGGTTTATTCCGAGATAACACGGATGGTGCCTTTCCAGAGGTACGTGGGAAAATCTACTTGGGTGGCTGTCAAAATTATAGTCCCTTTTTGGATCCATATTATAATGCGGCGCCTAATTTTAAGGGTACCCAAAAAAGGATCATAATTTTGACAACCACCCACTTCGTAGTCTGGGGTGGCGGGAGGAGAGTCTGTGAGGTGAGGTTTAGGGTTTAGGGTGCCCGGCTTCTTCAGGGGCGGTGGATCTGAGCGCAGCCAAGCTAAAGCAAATGTTGAGACGCCCCCCCATAATGGGCTTACATTAGGATTATATAGGGAGTATAGTCCCTGATATCCTATATCCCCTATACCTATAACCCCAGTGCATTATATTGTAGTTTCCATTTTCTTTTCCATTGTCCTTAAATAATCACCATACTAGTACTACTAAAAACCATGGTGGCTCTTTGTCAGTTCCTTATATCCTCCTAAACCCTAAACCCTAAACACCCATGGTGATGGTTTGTAAAGCCTAAACCCTAAACCGCGTGTGTCATGCAAAGGGGATCGCCAGCTTCGTATGGCGGAGGACATCTTCTGACCACGTACCTGTACTGTAGTCTAAACTCCTGAAAGGTGGGGGTTATATGGGGGAGTATATAGGGTTCAGGGTTTAGGGTCTAAACTCCTCAAAGGGTGGTTATATAGAGGAGTTTTTAGGGGTTGTATAACATAAGGGTTCTACAGGGATAATGGGAAATAAAGTGGAAACTACTATTTAGAGTTTAGGGTATAGTCTAAACTCCTTAAGGGGTGGCTTATATTATATGGGGGATTATATGGGGAGTATTATAAGGCTTATGAAGGGGGATACTAGGAGGTTAGACTAGCTCACGTGATGATGGAAGATTGGCAGACCCCTGGCATCTTGCCTTTGATCTAAATGCCCGTCCCATTTGGGGTGTTGCAAACTTCAATCAAAGCGACCCAACAGCTGAGGTGGTGCCTGCGGCGGCATCGGTGGCCTCTGAAGCCTGGATGAAAAAACAAAATGTAGGCATGTGCAGTGGGTGAAATTCGGATACCACAGAATTAAGCTTGGGTCGTTTGTTGAGCATGGTAGCTGCCCTGCAAGCAAGTAAAGTCAGAACACATGCGGGTCAGAACCAAAGGCTTGTAACAAGGCCAGGGCCCAGACACGCGACACACCCCCTTACAAGGGGTATGTAACAGGGGCGCGCCTGGCGCAACAAGCCCTCCAACACCATGAGTATGCTAAGTCTTTGATAGCCGTGCGACAACGCGCCACAAGGGGTATGCAACAAGTCGCGCGTTTCAAGGGTATGTAGCAGCAGAGACTTGTCCGTGCAGGCGATTCGGCATCCCATGGATGGCAGTCAGTTGAGACCTGCAGCAAGCGCAGCTGTGCTTAGGCTTCGAAGCTGATCCTGCAAGCACGAGAACAGATGAGCGATGGGCTTCTTGGTGCAAGAAACAATTTGGCCGCTGTGCTGAAGAACGCAGCCGACCTCATGTTGTAGCGTCAGGCACGAGTCTTAAGTATTCATTGTACAAAAAAAGGAAACAAACCTCATCGTCACTTTCGCTGCCGGGTCCGTTTGTGGTCCTGATGGTGTTGGAACTTTGATGCCCAAATTCCTGCATGACCTGATATGCTGTGGACCCCTTGGGAATAGAGGCCCGCCTGGGGGTTCCGTTGTTTTTGTTGGTGGCGGCGGCAGTGGCGGTGGCTCGTGCGTGGGTGTGGCTGTGGTTCTGGCAGCGGTAGTTGTGGCGGCGGCGGCGTGTCATTATAATTAACAAGGTAGCATAAGGTAGCAGTAGGAAGGGGGAGTCGGAGTAGAGAAAACAGAGCCCTATAATCGTCAGCCCAGAGCTAAAGCGCAGCAGCTCAGGTTCACGTTGGTGCAGGTGGGGGGCCGTTGAGCTGGTGACTCTGAGGGGTCACTGACTCGAGGCTTCTCAAGATATGATCTTTTCCAGGTTCTATAAATGGGCCCCATCGTTGAGAAGCACCCTGTTTACCCAAATGCTGACAACTTGTGCCTTGAGAAGAGGGGCTTCGACAAAGCTAGCTGAACTTCTCCGGCAGTCTTGTCAGTCGCCTGCTTTGCAGGTCAGGGTACCTACACGCAGGCAGCCAGCATGGAGTTTGTGGGACATGGGCCACCTCGGCAGGTTTAGGGAGCGTCTGGGTCCTGAAAGCCCTATGCTGATCCTGCCAGTCGTGGCGACTTCGAGAAGGAGAAGGTCACTGTGAGCTCTGGTGCCTTGGCAGAGAAGGGATGTCAAGGGTGCGAATCCTGCGGCGTGTGGCGTGTGCCCAGGTGTGCGGTCAGCACCTCAGCATACCGCAGCTGCGTGAGCTCGCCGGGCGTGTGCGCGCCTGTGACAACGCGCACAGCCTTCACGTGGTCTTCGGATCAGGTTTCGAGCAGTCTGCGTGGCCTTCCTCTGCTTCCTGCTCTTCGTGATCCTTGGGCTCTTGGTATACTTGTTCATGCCAGGGCCCGAGCCAGGCCAGGATCCGCCAGGCCTGTTCCAGGACCATACACCCGACACCAAGGCCGAATGTTAGGGTGGGAGGGTGGGGGCGGCCCCGACATTAAACAGGGTGCAACACTGCACCCAGCACCGAGGCCCAATGTCTTCTTCACCCCGGGCGCCGATGAGATCGCGTCAGCCACGGCCCGACCCTCGTGCGGCTGGTCGGACTTGTTGGTGCAGTTCTGTCCCGAGTCGTCTGAAGGACATCTGCACGCAGTCGATGACCATGCAGGGCACGGTGGCTGCTCGGCCCATGACGACGTTGCGAGGCTGCCCCAGAATTTCAGAATTACTCCAGCTGAGGTCACCCCTCTCCAGAGGGAGACCTGCTGCGCGCAGGGCTACCCCTCTTTCTGCGCGACACCCACGACGAAGGCACCAATGATTATCCATGACAAGCACCTGGGTCAAACTTGTCAACATTGTGGTTGGGTCTCTTTAGAACGGCAATCTGTAAAATTCTTCCACATGCTGCAGATGAGGTACTACACCAACGTCAAGACCGCGGGGGAAGGGGGGCTCCAAAAGCTTTGCCAAGCACGTCCAAGCACATCACAGCAACCTGCCGAACTCTTTCAGGACCGAGCACGTCGCACATGTGGTGCCGGTGCCGATTCCTGGCCCCCCACCGAAGGTCATCACGCCCCTTGGTCTACATAGTCTCACTAGCGATTTTTTTTTCCAGCGGGGTGTCTTTATTGCCGCGCAAGCGGCTGGCGCCGAGGCACAAGGTCTACGTGAAGCACCATCCTTACGACTGCACCGAAGGCTTCCAGTCTGCTGTGGCATGTACCTCGGCAGCTTGCCTGACTGCCCGGCAGGTTATGGTAGCTGGAAGACGCAGTGGTCTCATGAGCACCAGCGCTACTGCTGCTACAAGTTCAAGGAGTCCTGCACGACGAAGGTACCTTGAAAGTTAGATGGGCCTGACTTGTGAGACGCACTGACGCGTGCACAGACCCCCCATGCGT